GGGTGGGGGGGTGGGGGGTGTGGTGTGGGGGGGGTTTGTTAGCTGGGTGGGGGTTGTTAACGTGGTGGGGGTTGTTAACCTGATGGGGGGTGTTAACCTGATGGGGGGTGTTAACTCGATGGGTGGTGTTAACCTGATGGGGGGTGTTAACTCGATGGGGGGTGTTAACCTGATGGGGGGTGTTAACTCGATGGGTGGTGTTAACCTGATGGGGGGTGTTGACCTGATGGGGGGTGTTGACCTGATGGGGGGTGTTAACCTGATGGATGGGGCTAACAGTCAAACCAGAGCAGAAGAGGACAGAAGCCTGATGTTTAGACCTTTGCTCAGGTAGATAAGATCAGTAGATCAGATTGGCTCCATGTGTAAGTATCAGCTCATCACTGATCACCCAACGTAAAGGAAATTAGTGCTGATTTATCAGCTGGCTAATTGATCTGTGCAATAAAACTACACTGAACTGCGATACTTTAAAACACACTGAGATTTGTCCCACCTTGGTTTTGTTTGTGAAAACACAATAAGAACATCAATAATGTTTTCTAAACATTAGCACCATCTCAGAATTAGATAAACATAATGCAATGTTATTAATTGTTTGAGTTTCACTTATTGCGGGTTATTTTTGGAATGCAACCCCTGCGAAAAACGAGGGATCACTGTAATGCTTAATGTCCTGTTAGAAACATTTCTGTGTTTTATGTTTGTTGGGTTGGAAGTTGGAAACAAAGCAGTGGTGCTTCAGAGATAATATCACTGACCCTGGGGAGGAGAGCAGGACCTTGGATGTGAAGAGAAGACAAGCAAATAGATGAAGAGACCATCGCCTTGATGAGATGCCTTCCTCCAGAGAAACCCGCTCTGGCCTCCCTCTGCCTTATTAGTACACGGATCATAATGAAATGGGCCTGAAGATGTGCAGGACAACGGTTCTATCTCGTGGAAACTCTGGCTTTATCCTGTTGTCCATGCTTCCAGGATAAAGCAAGACAAAAGGATTTATGTGGAACTGCAACTCATTGAATCACTGCCAAGTCTGGGCGAGTCATTCAACACATGCCAAGGTTGAAACAGCCGATCATCGGGAAAGGAAGAAAGAGAATGAGTAGCAGAAAAATAAGAGGGAATGGTTTCCAAAGACCTTTGGCAGCGGCGCGAGGAATGACAATGCCGGGGCATTTTAAGAGAAGGACAGATTGGTTTGGTTAAAAAGGCAGGGTGACCACCAGCCAGGACTCGGATTGATTTCTAGCAGCACAATGCAGAGGCTCGCAGAGACTTGCAACTGAGTAAACAAGGGTTTTATTGTAATTCACGCAGTGTCTCTGCATGACACAGTGCCTAAGCCGCCAGCCAGACCATTATGTGAGAGAAAGACCATTACCTCCCATTAACTGAGAAGGGCTGCTTCCAGAACCCATGCTTTTCTCTAGCTGAGCAAGTAGGGTAATTACAAAAAGAATCGCTTGTTGCCGCAAAAACTAGCAGCGTGGATAAATCAAACGGGTTTGGCCTGAGGTTTTAGATGAAATTGCTGCAGGGAGATTTAGAGAAGCATCAGGGCCATCTGCTCCCCTGAGCCTTGGCCCTTCTGAGGGAAACACGGGCGACTCGCTCCCGATTTATACGACCAACCTTCTGCCAGCGGATCTACGCATCCATCTCTCGGCAACCCAGCACCCGGCTTCAGCTCCTGCTGCTGTGAGACAGAGTTACTTTCTGTTGTTCTTTCACTCCATCTGGCTTTGCCAAGGAAGTAAAAGTTGAGTGCGTCGAGCGTAAACAACCACTTGCCAGATGATAACAAGGAAGAGCAAAAGAAGCAGACAATAACAACGGCTCTGAAGACCTACTTAGAGAAAACAACAATTCACACCACAGGAAGGCCTGCGTGAAGCAAAGCAATCTGAAAGAAAAATGAGAATTAGCTGAGGTGTGCCAGATGTAACTGCACTACGAGGAGGGAAAACAACAACAGAGGCGGTGGGAGTAAACAAAGAAAATAGGAAAAAGTAGGAGAAACTTGTTGTTTCTGTTTTGAGTATATCATAAAGCAGAAATGCCTTTTTTATGGTTTCATCTCCTCAAATAGAAAGATATGCAACTGTAATCTGAATTACATTAACAGAAATCTCATGCATTATGGATTTAGATTCTATGAAACAAATGGATGAACATCAGAAAAGGCCAGGTTTAGTATGGCTACCAAATCAAGCATTGTTTGTTTTGGTACATACATATTTACCTTGGCCGCAAAGGTAAATATGTATGAATACCCAAAAATAGGTTGTGAAATGCAAAAGTCACTACAGAGCTGGCTGGCTGGTATTGTAGCCACATTTTTTTATTATCTTTAACTTTGACCAACCAATAGGAAACATGATACCAAGAGAAAAGGAAGCAGAGGACAGGACTCACCGCAGGGTCCGTGGAATTGGACCCGGATGTTCTTCTGGTTCTTGCAGGCTTGCTGGTGGAGCTCACACTCGTTACGGTAGTCCTTCCCGTCGCTGCCGCACACCGTCTGATCGGGCTTGTCATCGCAGCTGAGGGGGCACATGCATTTAGCTGACAGGCCGTCCGATGATTGGACGCAGGTGCTGCCGTAGCTGCAGGTCACCTCGGCGCAGGGGTTCTTCAGAGCTGCAGGCGGACACACATGAAAGGCTTATTTAGCCAAAAGCATTTTCTCTTTCCTTTTCTTTTTTTTCTACATTGAAGAGTACATCTGTCGAACAGCAGCAGAAGAGCGCTGAATGCTCTCCATACACTGGAGTGCATTATGAATGACAGGCCATCTTATCCATGTGGCTGCTGGCGCACTTTTAGAAGCCCACCGCGGTTGTTTGAAGAACTACTTGACACCCCTTGGGTAAGGATGCGGCACCGCAGTTGTCGACTCGTACCGACGAGTCCTGTTCGTTTCAGCGAGTGGCATGAATTGAATTACAAGCTTTGCATTTGGACCCCACATTCTGCAATGCTATGCTTGAGCAGCTTTAATCGGCCCAGCTGCACAGCAACCCTTTGAATATTTACCTTTTCACAAATTAGTCCAAAAGAAAGAAGAGAAAAGGACGCAGAGATATGTAACCCCCCCACATGCATACCCCGAGGACAGTTTCCACCCCAATTAAACAAGGGGCCACTTGTCTCTGAGTGACTCATTCTAATCAATGGAGAAGGTGAACTTTTTTATTTTGCCTGCATTCGCCACCAGCATTGGGGAGTACAGGGGGTTTCCAGGAGCTTTGTGTGTTTGACAAAAGACATCCATGAGATTACAATCGTTGTCATTTCTCAGCATAATCCATATTTCTGACTGTCACGGACACAAGCGTGCTCTCCAATGGGAGCGAAGCCGAGCGTTGGAAGCCCTCATTTCCTAAGCTTGGCTCCTTTTCTTTCCTTGTAATAAATATTTACCCATGTCTGATATTATCAACCCTCTTTTGTTACGTCCAGCATCGATGAATTTAATTTAAAGGTGTGGCCAAGGTGTATAGGCTGACTTGCATATTGCTTTGTGCTTCTTTTTCCCTCCACCTGTCATCATTTGTGAGCAAAGACAAGGGGAAAATGTCTCTTTTAAAAAATTCAATACCCGTTCCAACGATGGAGCAGCACTGCCTTGTTAATAACAGAGAGGAGCGCATGCAGAGATATGTATATTAAGGATGGGAACGGAGACGGGATTGCTATAAGGAGTACTATTGATCAAAGGATTGCCCCACCTTGCTTCCCTCATCTTTGTGACACATTCTCTCTTCCCCTCTTTTTCTCATTCTGCTGTCAAGTTCTTTTGAGGTCTGTTGCCTAAGAGTCGCTAATGAACACCTCCTCCTTTGCTTCGAGGAACTTTGAAACTGCTTCTAGACCTAATTTTATAAGTATCTTCAAAATAAAGTGCTAAACTGCAGCCCAGACCAAAAGGAGACTGGTGGAAAATGGTTTAGTGAAATCAAAAGTAATTACTGAAAATCATCAGGTATTGTAAGCTGCTGATGACAGCTTTGTGGCTTTCCTGCGCTGACTAGATGGCCATTGTGATGCTTTGTGTCTTATCATGTGAACAATGAGATGCTGATGACCTGCAGGATACGGCATTGAGGTAACAACCCTGTTGGAGCAGCAACACACAAAGCACATCCAGTACACACTGAATGATCTGGGCTCAGGCACAGTTAGCTTCAATGTGTGGCTGGGATTTTGTCTGACAGACCGAAACATCCTGATGCATTTAATGTCAAGTGGATGAAAAATGATTTAGTAGTGTGAAAAAGTGTTTGGCTCCTTCTTGATTTCTTTTTTGTTTTGTATGTTTCTCATACTGCAGTGTTTCAGAACATTAAGCCAATTTCAACATTAACCAAAGAACCCAAGCAAACAAATGAAACCAGGCATTTGCAATAAGATGCCAGAAGCCTTTAATGGCACTGTAAAGGAATTTTGTCTGTCTGGTCTTTGCAGGATTGTTCTAATCCACATTGAAGAATGACTGGCCACATCATCAGGTCAGAGGTTAAGAGGGTTGTCAGGGTTGTCCATCATTTTCTCCATTTTATGTAAAGTCCGTCTTGGCATCATCATCTCCAGAAGTTCCACTGCCATTCCCAGAACAGAACCAGAACCAGAACCAGAATCGGCCTTCTTTGTCAGGTTGTTGAGCCTCTTTGCACTTTTTGATCTTCCTGAATAATAATCTGGGCTTTCCTACACTCCCTGCTTCCTCTGCCTCTGAGTGGAGCAGCAGCTTCACAAGCAGAGGATGGTGGGAGCAAAAGAACGAAGCACACGAACAGAGCAAACCTGGGAAGGGAGGCGGGGGCTCTCTTTATTTGAATGCTAACAGAGGCCAATTTGGATATGAAGCGTAGCCTCGATGGGGCGTTAGTGCAGATAAGCTGCCCTTCTCAGACCCAGACAAGCAGACAAATTGCTTCGGCGAATGTGATAGGTGTAACAAGCACAAATGAAAAAAAAAAGAAAGAAAAAGCATGCTCACTGCAGCAAACTTCTGAGTGTATTTTTCTATTATCATGTGAAAGGTGGCAAAAAGGAGAAGAGAAAGCAGGAGGAGAAAAAGCTCTGCAGAGCTGCCTTCGTAAAATTAGAATGAGCCTCGCTGCCAATTAAATCAGTCGCCTTTGCAGGAGTGAAGCAAAGGCGACTTCATTATCCCAGACGGGCAGGGATAATGAAGGGAAAAAGATAAGAATAAAGACAGAGAGGTAAAGATTCAAAGTGACACTGTAGAAGCAACATTTCTGCACAAACAGGAAGCTGAGATGTCTGCGGCAAGGAGCGGAAGCTTCAAACACCCAGCGGTCTCAGATTTTCATCAAAGACTTTTCATATATCTATTTATGTTGGCATTCAATTATGATTTACTACGGTACATTTAAACATATACAGGTGGATCTCAATCAATTCAAATAACTAAAACGTTAATTTATTTAAGAATTTCTATTCAAAAAGTGAAAAATAAGTCAAAGCAATGTTATGACCAACAGAATCATGACAACTTGACCAGTTGCCCTGTGGAGAGGGCAGCCACACAGGTTTTCTTTTCCTTTATTTTTAACAAAATGTTATTTTCATGAAAAGTTGAATGGATTTAAAAAGCAAAAAATATGCAACACACTGTAAAGAGTACCCATGTATCTAACAGTGATAAACAGCAACACTATGACAGAAACAAATCAGAAAAATATAAATCAAACTGTTGATTTGGTGTGCAGATACAGTAAATAAATTAACTGGAGAAACAGTAATTTGTACATTTCTGAGGATAAAGAAAACGGTTAGTACCATAAAACACTGCTGCAGGGGGGGGGGGGGTTCACAGAAAATATTCATTCCTTTCCAAGTTTCTAATGGCCAAACACTGATTTCTAGATGTATTCATTGCAACAACACATTAGTGTGTGTTTTCACAGCAGTGTGTGAATCTCATTAAGAGTTTGGAAGAGACTCAAGGGGTATTGACTGGGACTCAGCTCAGTGTTTCATTAGCTGCAGCCCTGCAAAGACATCAAGACACATCTTATCTGTACTGAACAGGAAAAGGAATGGATGGTTGCTAAAAGGTCAAAAGATCAATTTTCTTTTGGAATGAAAGGGTCTGAAGGGAGAGTGGAAAAAGACACAAGCAGAGGCGCTTCAGATCCAATGTGAAGTTTCAACATTGGATCTCAATGATAATTCTAGGAGTCATGTTGGTCTACTGTGTTTTATTAAGTCCAAAGTAAGCACTGCCATTTACCAGAGCAACTTCCTTCCACTGATGAATTTTGTGGAGATGCTGAGTTCATGAATCTTTAATGACCAACTCAGCTGACCCAAACTCCACTAAGAATCTACTGTTAACATGAGACACAGACACCCAAACCTATCAGAGCAACCTGAGCTTCACTAACATCTGAGCAGAACCAGATGGCCTCCATGTTACTGATGCAGCTCTGCATGTACAAGGAGGCCTAACCAAGTGTTGTGACTGTATATTGAACACTCTGACGCAGGAGATATACTATAAAGAAGGCTCACATAAATCTGTTTTCATGTTCTATTCATAATGGCTCAGAAATTGAATTGTAGTCTTAAGCCGTAATTATCAAAACGAGAGGAAAAATAGCGTTTGTATACTTTAGTGAGATAAACCAACTGTGATGACATTCAAACCTTGTGAGATGCGCCGTACCTCTGAAGAGCAGGCTGCAGTGTCATCTCGCCCCATCATCTAATTCCTCAACCCACTTCTTTTCTTTCCAACAAATTCACAGCAGCTACTCTTGGCACATTGAATTAAATAAGTGTCTTCGAAAGCTGAGAAATTTGGTCTATTATGTGTGATTCTGGTCAGATTATTTAGAGTGTCCTGAGATAGCTACAGAAAAATTGAAAGAATAAACTGAGTTCTTTTCATTTTCAACGATTCAGCTACTTCTAAAAGCACTTTGAGATTTCTGTCATTATTGTGTATTCATCTGTCTTTTCACTGAGCACATGCTCTACTATTAATCACAAGTGGCTCAGATTTAAATGGGCAGACTTCCAGAGAATATCTATAGTCAGCAGGTTTCTTATATTGTCCACCGTTGTGAGGAACATGCTGGGCCTGAAGTACCTGGTGCCTAATTATGGATGAGCATGAGGTACCGTATCACCATCGCAAATGTGAACACAGACACATCCTAATGTTAATTAAAGTGGTGTTTAAATTGGGACAGAAATCAGTCAGTGATGTAGTGTTGCTGTAGAGGCAGCAGAAGAACCATTAAGAAACCAATAAGATCTGTTTACTATTCATGGTGCGCTTCCAGACTTAAGAGAATACTTTAAGATTATAAAGGAAATCAATGCCAAGTGGCCGTAAGGAGATAAAGAGCTCATGCTAAATTTGCATGTTTCACAGCTTTTGAATTGAATTTATCATTAATAATAAAAGAAAAAGTCTGAAATTAGAGTGTCTGGATGAAAACAGCTGGTATTTAGAGGGTAAGCACTGTCAATGCCACTCCTTCAGAGCTACAAAGAAATATTGATATTTACATAGAATATTATTGTGATTTACCCTAAAGGAAACATGACATGAATTTCAGGTAACTACTGCTGCAGCTCCCATGTTTACCAGTGTAATACAATTGATCCC